TTCGCAGGACAATTAGTGTGTCACCCAGATGATCAGTTTGGTGAGACTGCAGGTTCTCTAATGAATATGAACTTTAAAGATTTAATGGTTCCCCTTCACCTCAGTAAATTTATGAAGATATTTATTCCAAGCTTTTAGTGGGCCCAAATCAGTGATTATTACTGAGTCATGCCTTTATCTAACTGCTTAGTAGTTACTTGCTTTTTAAAATTACTGTAAATGTCTCTTTTTTAGGATGGATATTGACTGACTGTCATTTCACTTCAGTGGTAGCTTGACAGGAGTAGAAATTGCATGGTCTAGCCTCATCACAGAATCAGAAAAGGGCAGAACTCTTCTGAGACTCTCAGAAGATCAGAGGGACGATCAGAAGAGCATCTATTTTTTTTTCTCCCTGCATTCAGGCAGAATTGAGTAAATACTGACTCGTTTCCTCTTTCCTCCAGCCCAATACATGTTTGTATAGTTTGTTCTCAAGAATTTACAGTGCCCAATTCCTAGAATATATTCCACTGTTTTACAATATCAAAAGCTTTCAGTGATATTCAGTTTAATCTCTTTAAATTAAGGCTGACTTTTTTTTTCTTGGTTGTCATTAGAATAGTTGATCACAGTCCTCTTTCTGACTACCTTCAATCTTCTCTCAGCTGGACCAGACATACACAACTTCTCCTCATCGCCTTATTTTTTAAACTTCTTACTACTTTATATATGTTACAATGAATTTTGTAGTGACGTCCTGACTTTCCTGCGGTGAACTGAAGAAGTGGTCTAATGAACTTGTCTCTAGCATGTAAGGGGCTCAATTGGATTTCATTCTTCTGTTGTTTTGGAGATCTGACCAGGTGTAATATTTACCCTACTTATGTTCCGCAGGGTATTCTCTTTTTTTTTCAGTTTGGAGAAGTGAAGGGTACGGGGATAATGAAGACAGTGATAGAGAGATTCAATAGAGCCATTTTAAAAATAAGCTACTTAAGAATGCATTGTTTTTTGTTAAGCATGTGCATGCTTGCTTGTGCGCACGCGCTCTCTCTCCCCCCACCACTTTTTTTTTTTTTTCCATAGTAAGGAATTATATTGCCATTTCTGCTTATAGCTTAGTTGTATGGAAACTGAGGTTTATGACTAAAACAGCTGTGAACATTTCATATATCATAAAGCACCTAATTAGGCTGCAGAAATAAGAAAAAAAGATTCAAAGTAAAGGCCCTTTTTTATTATTACTGTTAAGTGTTTTGGCATGAATAGGCATGCCATTACAATTCCCTTGCCAAGTTTTGGTCAGGTATAAGTGTTCATTATCTTACTGGAAGTTAGTAATCTTCTAGGTTCAGTTTCTCTCTCTAGAAGCCTTTGGAAATTCTGAGGTAAAGCTTTAGGAGAGTAGCTGGATTTCTATAAGCAACAATAAACTAACTACTAAACTAACTACTGAAAAGAGAAGATTGGATGTAAATTACAGGAGGAAGTGATATTTTGAAACAAGTGACCAGTGAGTGACTACTGATATCAAAAGGAATGGCAGAAGGCTCTTGTGAATCACAGCAGGGAACAGCTTTTATGTTCTGGGTGTACTTGCAGATAAACCAGTATTCAGAAATGATAGGATTCATTTATTTTGCCCCCATTGTTTGCTATTGGGCTTTGCTAGCATAGACATATTTGCAAGGATACTTACACAGAGGAGGAAAACTGATACTGTGAAGCTCTTGAAACAATGAAAGGATTTTTTTGATTCATGAATCAGAGCCTTCCAAAGAGAGGGAACTTTCTCAAAGTTACTTTTTAGCTTTCCTTGTGTAGCAAAAAGTTATAAACTTTCTATTTCCTGTCACTTTGTTGGTGAAGGTAAGATTTAAAATGATCACATGTGATCAAGGCAATCTAAATGGTATCAAAATATTTTTACTCACTAATTAAAAAGATTACAGGAGGTGCTCTGCCCTGATTACTTCCCTCTTTACACTTTGCCAGGCTTCATGGTGTGTCTTCTAGGCAGGATGTCAAATGATGATTTTTGATGCTTACAAAGATTCTTCTGTGCATGACAAAATAAAGCCTAAGGCAAAGTGAATCAGGGGAAGAAAGAACAGAAGGATAAATAAAATGCAGAAGTCGAACAGGAAGAAAAAAAAATCTGGTGAAACCCATTCACATCCTTCTAGCTACCCATGTAAATGTCTTCCTAGCTTTAAAGGTGATTGAGGCTTAGGCTGGGGACGTGTTAAAGAGAAGACTTACGTGCAAGGGAATTGAATATGCCCAGCTTTGGAACTGTTAATTTTTGGATTATCACTCTTATCTAGAAAGATGCTTGGATTATGTCTTGTGGTGGTCACTGTAGTGCTGCATATAAAGTTAAGTTGCTGATTCCCATAGCCATCAAATTTCCCATAGTTTCACTTCTGTTGGCACAGCTTCATTTGTGGTAGCAGTGCTGGCAAAACTGGTGTGGGTGGGCTACCAATAGCCTCCTGTAGTGCCATGTAGTTTCTCTATGAGCAGAGTAAGGAGAGAGAGTTGGAGAAGTGGCAGTCAGGTGACGTTCGTGCTTCCCCTGTGAGACTTCTTGCTTTTTAATTTCTGCCACATAGACATGGTGATTAATTTTGCTTGCAGGGCTGGATGATATAGATTTTTGCAGACATTACATGCAAATTTTTAATCTCTTTTTGAAATTCCATTTTATGTCTATATGGATATTTCTAATGTATTTAATTTTAATTGTATTTGGTACTTGTTTCATAATGGTGGAATGTGGAAATTGCAAAACAGCAACAGGGTGTGTGGCGGTTGCCTGTGAACATGAGTTTTCCAGTGTTTAAGGGTCCTTATGCTGATTTAAAATCCCTAGGACAATATCCGTCTTGTTTGTCTGTGTGTCATACTCATTTAGGCTACTATACTGGGAAAATAAATAATGATGTTAGTAGTTCTTATGAAGAGAAACTATCATGCTGGTTGCTGTTTCCAAAAATACAGAATTCTTACCAATTAAGGGAATGGGAGTGATTAATAACAAAATCTGGTATTGTTTGGATAAATTATGTATTTTGTATATTGTAAGGAGGGAGGAATACAGTGTGTCAAGCCTTCTGATAGCGTAATTCTGTTGAAGTCAGCTGAACTGTGTCAGCAAAGACTTTAGTTTTATAATCACAGCTGCTTAAGTAGATTGCAGTAGTTCTTTTATAACAAGGTTCAAATCAGTAGCAATTAGTATTCTCCAGGCCTAATTTTTCACCTGATAAATGAATACAAATGTTAATTAGAAAAGGTGAATTTAGGAATTCTGCTGGTAGCAGATTGTCTGCTTACATGTGGCTTCACTGAAAAGTCTGTATGTTTCCTGCTTCTCCTCCCTTTTGATCCTGTTCTGGCAGCAGACAGTACTCTGAGAGAGCATCTTCATCTGTGCACAGCAGGATTTTTTCATTTTATCCTTGGTTTGACTTAGTCTCTGTGTTCCTTTCTATATTAATGTGTAAAATAGTAACCTTCAAGTTAGTGAGACAGGGCATGAATGCCTTTGTACCACTTTTCCCTGAATGAAATAGTTTGAATTTTTAAAATCCTAAATTTATTGTCTTTTTACCTTGCAAAAATTCTCATAGCTTTGCACTTTCTGGATGTGTAATATTGATATTCGTGAACACTGTGGCTTGTGTCACTGTGGCTGTTATAGTCTCTTCCTTGCAACCTTCACTTTAGAGAACTTGCATCTTGTCTTTTCCTTTCTGTTTACCCCATGGCTCTTTTCAGGGGTCAAGTGGAACTGATCCTGTGATCATTGGTCTGTTAATTTTTCCTCTCCCTCTGCTGCTTTTTGCGGTAGATTGGTTTGTTTATTTATTGTCACACTGCAAAGCGCAGTAGGAAGGTAATTGTCCATCAGATGTACTATGGATTTTATTATTGATCACATTCTGCAATAGCAGTAGGATGTCAAATTGAATTTTACTTTCTTTAATGTTTCTTCGTTGGTGATGGCTGCTAAGTGATGCAGCCCTACCGATGTGCCATATTCTACGAGTCCTTTGGGATTCCTAGACGACTTTTCAGGCATTTCTAACGGTCTAACTAGTTCCTGGTAATGTAACTCAGAAGCTGTTTGATTCCCTTTTAAGTAGATTGTTTCAGACGTTGTCTTTGACCCATTGCTTTGCTTAACATTTTATATTTTCTCAGTGGCCTGATGCAGGTACAGTTCCAAAATGAGTGTCTGTTTGTGAGTTTTGTGGCAGGAAGAGATGTGCTCCTTGCAGCTGAGATTTGCCAGGGAGAAAGCACCAGACATGGCCAAGGCTCTGAGCTGCAGGCATGTGGCCACAATGGGGTCTTCAGCCAAGGAGCATGGGACTGCCCTGAACTCAGACAAAGCAGGAGGGACAGCCTTAATGCCTGCGGTGTCCCAAAGAAAAATCACACATAAACTGTACCACATGTGGATCAGTGCCATTTTGTGCTGCATCTCTGTTTCACTAACTGTTGAGGCTTAGATCTTCACATCTTGCTTACAATTAATTACTGCCTTTCACATGCTTTCAACATTATCACTGAGTACACTTCAATACAAAGTAGCTTCAATCCAGCTTCTGAGTTTGTAAGCTCAAAATTCATGCTTCTTGTTCGTACTCTGACTTTTGGCTACCACCGTATTATTTCCTCCTGTTTAGATGTAGACTATTTGTAGGTACAAAGAACTCTGATGTAAGCGTACATGGTATATTTCTTTAAGGTGATTTTGTATAGTTTGGGCTGTTAGAACATCAACTATTTTCAATTTCTATGTAGAAATACCCTTGGCGAAAAATGCTGCAGTTTGCTGCATGTGAAAGAAGAAAGATAAGTTTCTAAAACAGCCTATTTTAAAGGGTATTTCTGTTTTGTCCTATTCCTTGCTTTTTCTTAGGTGATTTGATACGCTATATATTTAATATTTGAATTTTAATTGCTAACAAACTGTCACTGAATGCCTTTCTCTTTTCTCTTTGTAGGTGGAAGAAATTGTTGATATAGGAGCGTTTGCCCCAGAAGACATTCATGTTCCCAAAATCTATGTTGATCGTCTGATACAGGGAGAGAAGTTTGAGAAGAGAATTGAAGTAAGAAGTTCAGCTTCTTAGTAACAACATATTTCAACTTGGAGTGTTTTTTAGAATTTACAGAATTTTCTCTCTAGCTCCTAAGTGTTAGTGGTGAGAAAATGCTGTGAGAAAGACCTTCCAAGTTCACTAAATGCTGGAGAACAGTAGGTAGATGAAGGGGCTGACAACTAAGCCTTGTGTCTCATGCCTCATTCTCTCTGGTTTGGACTGTAAAAAAGTTAGCGCAACTGCCCATTGTCCGGAAAGACTTTGTAGCAATTGGAAATTTGTTGATGGGAAATCCATTCTCCTTCTTTCTCTCTCTGCTGTAGACACAGTGAGGAATGCCTAGACTAAGAGCTAACTTTGACAATCAGAAACACAAGTCTCTTTTCTGTTGGAGAGCTTTTGAGGTGGGCAGGTAGGGCGAATCTCAGTCCCATTTGTGCCATGTAGTGGATTGCATTGCAAAGGCCCTGGAAACTTTCTTTCCTTTTCTTTAAACAGGAACTATTGTACCATTTCTGGACTAAATACAAGATGTTAATGGCTATTAAAAATTGCAGCAATAATATTCCAACACTGAAAACTTCCAAGATAGGGAAGATTATATAATTGTTCTTTTTTTCTGTTGCTTTGCCTCACTTGAGCTATGTCCCTGTGATCATTTTTGGTGATGTGACAATGCTGTTAAATTGCAGCTGCAGAATTGTTTCTGTATTTCTGCAGTGTCTCCATACCTCTAGAGGTGGAAATTATTCAAAATGCCATTAAAAGACGTGGGGGAGGGGAGGGATATGTGATACAAGGAAAAAAACTTTATGACAAAAGAAAAGTGCAGAAAGAAATTGTAGTAATTAAACTTTTATTATTAAAATTAAGTCACAAAGTCCTAAAAAATCATACAAGTCCCTTTCTCTGGGTAAACTCTTTTTGGGAATGTTAAGGTTAAAAAGCTTTCCACCCCCCGTTCCTCTTCCATCTGCTCATCCTGCCAAAACATATTGCCTCATTGAATAGTGGACTGGAGACAGATGTGTCAAACCTCTTTTTATTCTTTGGGCATGTTGCGTGAGACTGCAATTAATAAATACCCTGTTCCTTCCTTTTGAATGGATGCAATATCTCAGTTTAAAAAAGCTTTCGCCTTTCATGAGAGAAATCCATTTTGCATATATTAAACTGCTGCTCTTATTACAGTTTCGCACCAGATAAAGGGGTAACTCTGCACCCAGGGAAGACCTGTATACAAAATATATCTCAGGTTGCCTGAGATTTTCTTTGACTTCTCTGCGTAAGTGGGAACTCCTTTGATGCCTAGACAACTGCCTTTTTTTTTTGTATGCTTAAGAAAAAGAAGGAAGTCAGAGAGAGAAAGAGGAAAGCTTTTATAAACTGCACAGCAAAGTTGCAGCAGAGATAGGAAAGCTTTTATAAACTGCACAGCAAAGTTGCAGCAGAGATTAACTTTGTCCTTGGAATTTTGTAATTCTAGCAGTGGTGCCTCTCATTAATAGAATTATAGGAAGAAAATGGCAGATTTATTTATTTACGCTTTATAAAAGATTATATGTTAAGAAAGAGGCTGTACCTATAAAAGCATGATAATTGGCAAAGGGGAGGAAATGAAGAATAATTAGAAACTAGTTTGTTATAATTCTTACTGGTCTTAAATGGCAGTTCCTGCCTAATTGAACTCAGACTTGACCCCTCTACTGCAAATACCTTTGTCATACTTATCCAGCCTTCCACTCACTATAGAGAGAAATCCTCTGTGATTGTTCTTACTTTTTGCATAACTGGAAAGCGAAGCAATTCTAGGGAAATTAGCCAAAGCATAAAACTTTCTGTATAATGAAATTCCAAATAGATGGGAAAAGGGAAATCTAATTATGAGTTTTATCTGAACATGACTCTTATTTAGTTCAGTTCCTGCTATTGGCCCCTATCCTTTAAGGAAGGGCCTCCTCAGCACAAACTCACTCACGTGCTTCAAGCACAAAAACTAAGATTCCAGGAAATATATTTTGGGCAAAGATTTTCTCAGTGGAGTACATCTGTAAAATGCCTTTATGAAGAAGACTTTAAGTTCTCAAAAGCAGGATAGCTTTTCTAGAAATATTCAGCCAATCTTTTGACTTCCATTGTGAAAATGATACTATATAATATGGTCTGTAGGATAATTCTTTTCTATAAAGGAACTCATTTAATAATAAATTCTATATGTTTTATAAAATTCCTGTATTTCTAGTTAGTTTATCCCTATAAAATGTTAAGAGATTTTGAGGAAGGTATTCTATCTTTCCTCAAAAGAACCAATCTGTGGCTTAGAATGCTAAATAAAATGCAGTTAGAAGATTACAGAGCACAAGAGGAACCTCTTTCAAGTGGGTCAAGAACTGTCATATTTCAAGTAAGAAAAAGAACAGCTCCTTTTTTCCCAAGATGTCTTGTCCTTGGAGATTCTGCTCCTAGAATATATGCTACAATGCACACGGTAAATTCTTTTGGCTCGGATTGTCAGAGAGACTGTCTGCACTGTGTTTGTCCTTGTAGTTTTCCATATACGACACAAACGGTGGAGTTCTTGTGCTAATTCAGAAGCCCCAGGGAGATGTCAGATGTAGAGAAAAGGGACATATCACCAGGGCCGTGGAGACAGCACATCCTGAGGAATCATGGTTACTACAGAGTTGAGAATTGTCCTCCCACAGCATATGCCCTAACGGACAAAGTAGAAATTCTTCTAAATGGTCTGAACCACTCTGTATGTAGCTATAAGAGCATATATATGTTATTATATGTATAAATATGTTTGTATGTACATATATAAATATATATGTTCCTAAACAGTAGTAGAAGTTCCTTAAGTTCTAGATGAATAAGTGCTAAGGTGGGTAAAAGGATATAATTTGAACAGCTTGTAACTCATTCTTAGAAACTGAAGATTCACTTATGATATCTGCAAGGATATTGGCTATCCATAACCTTGTCTACAAAAGCTGCAGCTGAAGGTAATCCTGCATGATAGCGTACTATTAAGGTAACACGCTGATGCCCGTAAAACTTAAAGTGCATGGAGCAACGCTTCCCTGACGTAAAGGGAAAGAAAACAGATGAACAAACTGGTTAATGTGGAACTCTGTAACAACTATGGGCAAAATTCCTCTTCATGGGCAACTTTCCTCTTTATGAAAGATTGCATGAGGGAGATCTATGAGGAAAGTCTGAGTCTTTCTTACTGTGTGAGACAATGTTATGCCTTCTATAAAGGTAGTAGTCGTCATTGGCAAGCGATACAGAGAAGAAGTTGCTGAGGACTTAAAGAGGAACTGACAGTGTTGGTCCCTGACTGCCCAGGAGGAAAGGGGCTCCCGATATAAGGAGAAAAAAAGCACTGAAGAAGTTGTTTTGTGGTGGTGAAAAGGAACAGAGGATGATTTTGCCTAGTTTGTCCTTTATGGCCTGGAGTTGGAGAGAATGTGAGGACATATGGGGTGCAGGACCTGCAACCTGATGTTGTCCAAAATAGTCCAAAATGGTGCATGGGAGTGATGCACAAAGAACAGAATCCATGTACACACTCACTTACAAAAAAAAAAAAACTTACAAACTCTTTGAATGCCATGGCATTTTCACCTACGTGTGATTTGGACAGCATCAACTTCAGGCCAGGAAATCTCAGGAAATGCCTTTTGAACAGATTTTTGCAAAAGTATTTTTGAAACTTAGTTGCTTAGCTCTTTATATGACTGGTATTTGTGTGTCTCATGCATGTAAATCTAGAAGAGCACCACTGAATGGAATGAATGCAGAAAGAGGGCAGTATCTGCATTTTAGGCTGACATTTTAAAAATGTAGCTATTTATGGGGAAATGAATCTCGGACTTGCTTGTATCTGCACTAATGCCTGGTGCTTTCTTTCTTCCTTATTCTTAACCAGTTGTGTTTGTGTATCATGTATCCACTCAGCCTTGGCAATACGGACAAAGAAATAACTTTTTCTCTAAGGCTATCATTGGGGTACTTGATGACTTCATTGGTTTAGATAGGATTGAACTGATGGAAGAAAAGGTTGTTTTTTGTAAGAAACTGATTGTTAACCTTATTCTTAGACCAAGTATCTCAGTGCAATCACAAATCAGGTTTTCATGTCTTGAGAAGCAACAATTTGGATGCTCATCTTTGCTTAGGACTATTTTTTCTTTTGCAGCGCTTATCAATCCGAAAGCCTGAAGACTCAAAAACCAAACAAAAACAAGGAGACAACATGAGGGAGAGGATCATCAGACGAGCTGCCTTAGAGTTTGAGGATGGCATGTATGGTATCCTCCAGCTGTGCTGTAGCTAAAGCTGTGGTGATTCACTAGAGTGGCCGCAGCTGTTCTGCTTAACACAAGTTAATTTCCATGTCTGTTCTTTGCGCTGTCCAGCACCTGGAATTCTGTCTTTTTATTAATGCCCTGTTGAAATAGATGGGAGGTTAATGCATATGTCTTTATCCAGGCGCATCCAGAGCGTTTGCTAGCAGTTGAATGTTACATAAGAAGTTCTTGAAAAAGTACGTTGGAAACGAAGCTTACTTGCTCAGGATTTTTTTTAACATGTGAGGCGTTTGACAGAATGCAATTGGGCAGTCCAAATGCCAAAATAATTCCGTGCAAATGTGAGGCATCTGATTGAAAAATAAAATGTTTGTGAAGAGAACAGTTCTAATCGAATCATAGTACAATGGTAACTTTGTTAGCGTACTAGTTTGCAATAACTGTGTTCCCTGTTTGTGCCTTGACCAATTTACTCAGCGAATCTGGGTATTGGAATCCCGCTGTTGGCCAGTAACTTCATCAGTCCGGATATAACCGTTCATTTACAGAGTGAAAATGGAGTCCTGGGTTTGGTAAGAATCTATCACTGTCACTGATGATTCAGTGCAGTGTACATACCTTGCTGTGCTGCTGCCTTTTAGTGTTCCCACCAACCTCGGTATAGTTATACTAAAAAGCATATTCAAAGATTTGCCATAATTGCAGGATTCTATAGTTCTTGTAGTGTGGGGAAGTCTCTAAGGAAATGCTCGTTTCAGGATTATAGCGCTATTTTATTACAACTAAGCATGTTCTTAAGTAACATATTTTGCTGGAGGGGGTCAGAACCTTCACTAGTTTGCAAGACCAAGCCTTGTAAGTTGGCTTGTTAAACATAATTTAAATTAAAACTTAAAGTGAACATTATTCTCACTGTGGTAAAGTTTTATTGAATTGCATTGGATACCTGCCTCTGAAAAATATCTGTCATTTTGGTGAAAATGACTCTGTGGTCATTTAATAATTCTAACGTCCAGCAATGTGTCCTTCAGTCCTGATAGGTTGGTTAATGTGAATTTTGGTTTGTATATATAGGATGATGTTGTGCCAAGGAGGAAAAAAAAATGCAAGTTGGTAATGATCTGCTTTAAGTAATAAGCATGAGAAATGATAAAGCTGCTATGAATTGTATCTCAAAGGTATTTTAATATAGAGCTGACATAGGTCTATTTTGTTGTCAGGGTCCTTATCCACTTGAAAATGAAGTGGATCCAGACCTGATTAATGCAGGTAAAATCTTTCAAATAAATTTCATTTATGGAAAGTGATTATTCATTGTTAATCTAAAATGTTTCTTTTGATTCAGTATTTGAACCCAGATTCCTGGTTTGTTTACTTGTAAGTAATGATGTGTGTGGCTTCTTTTAGTATTTTAAGTTATAGTTGGTTTTAATTAACGTAGATATTTAATATTCTGGTTAGCGCTTATGCATTGGTACATATTAGTAGCTACCGAAGGAAATTCTTTTACAGCCCAGGCAGCAGAGGGTCAAATTTTCCTTTTCAGAAGTGAGATTGTTTTGCGAGGCCTGTATGTGAATATATATATTTTTCCGGCTACTTCTCACATCGTATCTTCTAGAAAATGTTTTTCAATGATTCGTGTCTGGGACACGGTTTTCAGGGTTGTGTGTATAACAGCCTGGTTTCTCCCTATGTAGTGAATTGTATAAGTGATACCCAATTACGTCTTTGGAGAGGGAGCTGTAGCCAGGCCAGGAGCCAAAGGGCTTGCCAAAAGGGGCCAGGCATGCTGGAAAGCTGCTGCTGGGCTGCTACTTTTGGCACTTTAGGAGAGGAATAGAGGTCCACGGGCACTGAGAACAGCCTGGCCGTGAGAGAGGTCAGCAAAGGAGGAGCGCTTCTGGGACTGCTCTGTCTGAAAGAGCTTTCCCTTTTTCAAACATATCACCTGCTACTGCTCCCTTTTATTTATCCATTTCAGTTTTGCACTGTTCCCATCTGTTTTGGGGCATTTCACCTCATAAGCAGCCATGAAATGTGAAAACACAAACTTCTTAAGGTTTAGTGCGTCTGTCTTTGGCCTGATTTCTGTTTTCTTAATGGTAAGCTGTGCATGTACCTGTTCTCTTTGACTGCTTCTGTATAAAACTGGACCTCTTATTTTTGCATTGTGATAAACTTCAGGAAGCCTTTGGACCTTATAAATTCCCACTGATATTAACAGCATAGATTATGGATCCATAGCTGGTATTTTAGAGTTGTTTTTTCAAAGTTGTCTTTATCAGAAACTACTATATCTTTATATATAAAAAAGTACCTTTGCCAATCACTATTTCTTAGTACAATTAAACTCTGAATAGCCAAATGAGAAAAAGCATCGATAAAGCATTATAATTTAATAACATGATACATTCCAGCAGTTGCTCACTGACTTAAAACGTTTGCTACCCACTTCGATATTTGATATATGATAATTGATACCCACTATGTTATTCCTCGTTTCAGTGTTATCTTTTAAATAAAGAGTTATTTAAGCCCATCTTCAGTGTTTTACCGGTAGCTAGCTGTTGAGATACACTGTAAGAAGGGAAATATCAGAGACATATGGGAGTTGAATTAATGCCTGAACTAAACAGAGTATTTTTTTTATTTTTGATTAAGGGTGTCATTGAAAAGAAAAAAAATTCTAATAAAAGAATTTACCATAAAAATTGGTAATGATAAGGTCTAATATGGATGTATTAGAAATGAAACATTTTAGCAGAGTGAGGATTATTAAAACTCCAAGAATTTTATCAGACTCAGAAAATCATTGTGCTTTTTTGTAGATATCAAGACTATCTTGAATTATTATTTATGATCAGCAAATATTTTTCAAGAGGTAGCCTCGCTGGGTTGAAGCATAGACATGAAGCATAACAGATGAGAGATTAGAATAAAATGCAACATGGAAGTTAGGTTATTTTAGTACTGGGTAATTCAGTGTTGAGCATCTTAACGTCTGTATCTGAAGCTAAACAGGGCACAGGATTAGGTGAATCTCAGAACTACCAACAAGACTATTATTGTTCTCATCGGTAAAACATTCAGAAACTGCTGAATCCCACTGACTTGGGTTCAGACCACTCGAGGTGCCTTTGAGCATTTCAGCCAAATTTATAAAACCATATGACGAGGACAGAAGCTAAATGGCAAAGGAATAGGATTTAATTCTCCTCCCTTAAAAAAACTACATTTTCAAAATAAACTGCTTTGGGCTTTTTCTCCCATTTTTAATCTGAAAATGTAATAATATTTTTCCAAAAGAGATATGGTCTTTTTTTTTGTTTGTCCACTTTGCTGAATATCTCAATTATATGAAGCTTATCTTCACCGTAACATAAAGGTAGACCTCTGTGTCTTATAGCATAAATGAACATACATAAATACTGACTTGCTCACAGCATCTTCAAGAACTGGGTCATTTGGAGCTCTCATAACATTATCCTTTGGCCCTCAGTCTGTGCTTCTATCTGCTCAGCCTTGCCTTAGGTTCTCTCTGCAGCCCAGGGTTCTCGGCCCACGTCACTGCTTACAGGCCTTGCGCTCTCTCCAGCCCCGTGGGTACCTGAGAGGGAAAGACAGCTCAGGCGGTCTCACTGCTGGTCTGGGTGACTGCATGGTGAATTCTTGAGATCTGAATGCAAGACCACTTGTATGACCCTAATTCTATACTATTTTCAATGTCAAAATTTAATTTGCTACGGTGTCTTGGTATAATATATGAACTAAATAAATTAAAACAAGTAACTTAGTTCTCCATTTTAACTTTCCAACTATGCTTCCTTATGTTTTCCTGCCACTTTTGCTGCCTCAGTGTCTTCTCTCTCCCTCGCCCCCACCCCACCCTGTTTTCTGGAAACTGTTTAATGATGTCTCATTTTTCTTACCCTCTGTTTTTACACTGACTTTTTCTTCTCAGTGTCATCTTGCAGTATGGTCTCTTTTCTCTCCAGTTTGTCATGCCTGGCTGCTCATTCTACCCATGGTTGTGCTTCTTACACATTTCCACAGGCACTCTCTATAGATGGTTGTTGCGCAGGCTGATTCAAAGAACTGGCAGGGGAGGAAAGAGAGGGCTCTGAATGGAGTCAAAATCAGACCCTTCCATGTGATTTATGCCCTAGGCACTGGCTGAAGTTTTGTGTGCCCCATTACTTGACCCAAGAACCATGCAAAGAACAGTACAGCACAAAGAAGCACATTTTCTTGTGCACTTTAATGACAGATTTAGTCTGCTCTTCCTTTGTTTATTTTTCTGTTTTCTATATCATTCTCAGACTAGACTACGTAGCATCTGATCTGCTCTCTTTTCCTTGCAACCCTTCTGTCTCTTGAAGATGCTCTTTTTTCTCTTCCAAAAGCGATTATCCCTCACTTTTCCTGTGGCTAGAAGAGAAAGCTGAAGTCCACAGGGATTGCTTAACCTCTGGCCTCAATGATGTCTTGCCTGGTGCTGTTGGTGGTTTAACAATGGGCAATGCTGTGATAAAAACTGTCACATAAACTACTCCACAGTTCATTATGATTGATTAAGAAGTGTAATCAAGTCCATAGTTGTGCAAAATCCAAAGGAATTAGTTAAAAAAAAAAATCCTTTCCTTCTGCTTAATAGCTGTGACTGTATTTGTAAAAGACACAAAATATATACAAACAATAGCTTATTTCTTTTACAGGAAAGGAGACAGTGACTGTTCTTCCAGGTTCTTCCTATTTCTCTAGTGATGAATCATTTGCAATGATAAGAGGGTGCGTAACAACATAAACCCATATCTTTGGAAATTTGAAAAGAATGAACTGAGCCCGTGACTGAACTCATTAGTAATTCTTCGAAATGTGATGAGCATTTAACACCTGTAAAATAATCATGGACTTGCTCAGTGGTGGCTTACAGAGAATTAGGTCTGGCTGTTGGAAATTGAAATACACTGTAACTAATAGATACCATACTGATGTTCGCGTCTAGCACTGCCTGGCCATATATAAACACATTTATAACTATGTTTTAACAAATACGTTTTGGTAATTTCCAAGTATCTACTCTATACTTGCACACTGTATATTCTCGTTCCTCAGCCTGCAACTGCAGTCCTCATTCCACCCCGCTAATGTTAATTCACCGTCTGCACCTGTTTTTTGTTTGTTTTTTGGGAAGGAGGTTGGATGCAAACAAACACTAAATCATAATGGCTCTGAAAAGATAATGAGTGCATATAAATATGTGAAGAAGTGCACTTATAAAAATATGAGTTCAGAGTTGGTTGACTGTGCATGCAGTTAACCAAAACCTGACAAAAATAACATTTTGAGGCTCAATAGGCAGACAAAAGTTTGCATCAGTGATAGATCTAGAGAAAAGAATGGCTACACGCATGAAACGTAATGTCTGTCTCTGCGGTATACCACCATTTTTACATTGGTATGATGAGCGTGTGAACAAAAGTTTGTAAAGATTTGTGGGCTGTTCCTTGAACATGATACGCTAGTTAAACACTTTGCTTCTGTTGCCAGAGGCCATGTTGACCTGACAATGCTTGGAGCTATGCAGGTGTCCAAGTATGGTGACCTAGCCAACTGGATGATTCCTGTAAGTAGACATTTGTACTTCTGTCACTGCACTGTACTGAGGATAATATACATGTGTGAGAAGCTGAGAGTCGGGCAAAGGAGCAAAGGGCTGAAGCAGAAGGGGAGTTGTGAAGCTCAAAGCATTAAAATAGAGATGGGTGCTACTTTAAGGTTAATACTGTTTTTCTTGGATAACGTTGAACCAAGCAATCAAATATCAGAAGTCAGCCCTCTAAAATTACGCTTATGTTAAGCATAATGTGTGAGGAACCAAACATGATCTAGTTTAGCATTTTTTCTTCTTCTTGGGTGTAAGTCTTTGAAATGTCACATTTTTGGACGGAGGACGATGCTTTTTCTTGAGAAAGCAACGGCTTTTGTATGGTTACGTGACTAGAACAAGAGCTTGACAAAAGGTGTGAAGGAGTGCGTAGGTATTATAAAGTTGTAAGACTGTAAAGATTGGCTGCCTTTCTTTCCCCAGTGTTCCTGTCAAAGGATCACAGCATTGCCATTTCAAATACATCTAGAATGAAGTCATACTATTGTAGTTAACATGAATAGTTTTACAGGTTTCGAACAGAGAAATATAAGCTAGTCTCAGTGTTATTTAAGCAGCTGATAGCATTAACCATTCTTTGAATGCAGTTTAGGTTTTAACATTAAACAGCATAAATGTTTTTTACATGTTTTACCAATTTGTTTCGGATATTTATAACTGCTTACAATACAATACTGTTTGTTGTTTCCAGGTATCTCTTCTGATCCAAATATTCTTTTTAGTTTGGTTCAAGGTAATGAGCTGTAGTTAAAAATTGGGAGCTGTATAAAGGAGGAAAAAATCCAAATGCATGTCCTGTCTGAGGAAAAAGCTTTAGTGGAGCGCAACAGCCTGCGGGAAGCTTCCAACAGGCCTATGGCATGCAGGCAGCGTAGCAGTGGCTGGAACATAAGATACCTTTCGCGAGAGGGGCATAGGATCTGTGAGGGCAGATATGGGAGAAAGGGATATCTGAAGGGATATTGCAGGTGTCTGCGTGAGAGAAATCATAGGGAATGTGAAGGGGTTATGGCTAGACTGGAATATGGGGCATATGACACAAATCCATAAGAAAAGCGGATTTCCTTGGTTCTGCTGATCACAGAATAACTTGCTTTTATAGTCACCTAACTGAGAATAGAGGGACTAGTGCTGGTTAGATCTTTTCAGACCCCACTGATAGACATTCTGGCTTTTTTGTGATGATTTTCTGTTTGCAGTGTTAGCTGAATAATATTGTGAAAAATGGGGCCTGAGAGTTAATGGTTCCCCCTATTGCATCTCTCTAGGATCCTATATGCGCTCTTCTTTTACTACTCTGTGTCTTTTGACAGCGCTCTATATTTGAATCAGATAAATTGTAAACGTCCAAGTGTGATGTGCATGAAGGTAATGCTGGTCAGCTTTGCATTACCCAAATTCCAAATTTGTACTAAAATCTTTGGGTAGTTTGGTCTCCTGAATCTGATTTGGAACTTATTTTCTTGTCTTGGGTTACAAGGACTTGTCACTAGAATCCAAAATAATGAAATCAGCCTTTACTGGGGAAGAAAACACTTTGAAATATAAGGGATAACTATGTTTTTAACCCCAGGTTTGCTGTTTGAACCAAGGCGAAAGAATGATTTTGAAAGTTTTCAAGGAGTTAACTGGGTACTAAAATTGGAGTTTGCCTCATTTATACATGCCCTGTATCTCAAAGGTGTGATAAATGTGTCACCCAAATTTTAAATAGCTAACTGTGTGAAAGTTACATTTATTAAGCTGTAGTTTTCCAAATGGTAGATATAAATAAATCTAAGTAATCTGTAGTGTTAGTCCAATAGTGCAGATACAGGTCACCGAGAAGTAGGGTTGGATGTTTTTTTCCTTTACATCAATTTAAGATCTACTTTTCTCTTTTTCACTTTTACTTGCTGAAGTAGCTTTGCTTCTGTCAAAGCACTTCCTTACTTTAACTCGTGGTGGCTATGAGGTCTTACACAAGCATAAAATTAAGTACTTGTTTATATAATGTCTAGAAAAATTATTTTGAGTCATTGCATTCTCTGTCAAATTGCTTTTTTGAGATCGACTAGAAAACATATTTAAAAGTAAATTATTACCGTGTAAACCCAACTAATAATTTACTTCTCTGTGAATTTAGAGGTATTCTTCTTATAGGCACAATTCAAGATGATTTTAATCCATAGTTTTTTTTCAGTTTCAACTGTCAGATAAATTCTGTGTTTCATTTGGCTGGGTTGTCTTAGACTGAGTTTCTTTATACTTTTGCAAACCGAAAGTCACGATATTAAAATATCTATAAACTGCCCTTTATAATCAAGCTAACTTAACTCTGGGATTTTCTTCTTCCTCTGTTTTTTTGTCCTGCAAAAGCTCTGTTGAACGCTCCTCTCTGAGAGACCTACTAGAAAGTAGACAGGGATAGGTTGAATTCTAGGCAGGAAGAATTGCTTTGTTTGCTTTATTGTTGCTGTTGTAAATTGAAAGGGCAAGAGAAGCATCTTCAAAATACACAAGTGAACAAGTGATAAATACAGGTCCCTGCTGTACAGTATTCCTTTGTAATCTAGCAAAAAGGAACATATAATGATATCTCACAAAGCTGGAATTTTTGAAAATAAAGATCCATGTAATTTTATCTGACCACACTTAATATTAGATTTCACACAGTGCCTCTGTACTGAGTCCAAAAGCTTTTCTTTAACTGGAGCTTTTGTTCTTGAAAAGTGACCTGAACTAGGAAGGTTCATTGCAATAATTGCAGTCCTGTCTTCACTCTTATCTGCTGATTTCTAATAGAGAGGAAAATCCTATGATTAAGAGAAGAATGTGAGAATATTCAAAGCACATGCAGTAAACCATGCTATTCGTTTGCTTATGCAGGAGATTCTTCCTAAATGCAGGCATTTATTGATAGATTTATTTCATTAAACACTACTTACGGCTTTTTTGACTTCATCCCTGTGGTGTTTCTCAAACTGACAAGTGGGCTTTGGAGAAGGAAACGAGGGAAAGGAGAGGGAGAAGGAGGCGGCAAATTTCTGAGGCGCCCCTGGGAACTGAGTGCAGTTGGGGCAGGGTGGCCAAGGAGGGTGGAATAGAAATGCTGAGGACGCCATGGTGGAGGAGGGCTGGAGACTGAGGGAAGGCAGGCAAGCAGGCAAGAGAAGATGGGTGACCATGATTGCTGGGAGCTGCTGGATTGAGCCACATTTCACTTCAAGAGTGAAGGACACATTATCCAACCTGTTTCTCTCAAGCTACTGTCAGAAATTGCTGCTAGCAGGACAGCTTCAGTGCATGCTTACAGAGCAGCAGCACAGACGGTCACAACAGTCCTGGCTCCTGTGGCAGTGTACTTGCCTCACTCAAGTTTTTAAAAATTAGGGAGTTGACTGCACTTCTCCCTGCCTGTATTTGCTTCATTTGTAGTTCCTTTCTACCTGTGACTTCTTGGGACCCTGCTAAAGAAGGGTTTTATGAAGCGCCTCAGTCTCTGCAGCCTCTCTAGTGGCTGCATCATACTGGGAAATATTGCTTCCTTTTCTACAACCTTCCTGATAGAAAATATATGACTCCGTTTGCCGCTGAGACACGTAGCAGAAGCTGGGCATAGGTCAAAGCAAAACGTCAGAACTTCTGAAAGTGTCACCCCTGTGACACCAGAGGCTTTGCCTTATTATTGGTTCTACTTGTTTTAATTGTTGCTTTTGTTTAAAATTTTAGTATAAGGAAATTTCACTTCCTTCAGAGAGCTCAGAGTAAATACTTTTCTGTAGTCTAAAGGAGAGATCAAAAAACAAGGTTTAGGTACCAAAAAAGTGAAGTACTGTTGTGTCTTGCATTTTAGTGCCTGACTTCTGAGCGGAATTTGGTCCCTTTTGTACCTGGATAGCTTTATATTTAACGACATATGTAATTTTTCTTGAGCATTTAATTCTAGTCTTTTGATTTGTACATGGTAAAGTACAATTTTTGAAGTCAGTTACACTGTCTCCAGATAAAAAGGAAAAAAGGCACCTGATATGGCCTATTAATGTAGTTTCTTTAACTAATAATGTTTCTGCATTTCTGAACATCTCCTAGCCATTAAACAACATCTTTTAAGAGCAGGAGGAAAAAAAAAAAGATTAAAAGTGATGGATGAGACCTCCTAAGGGTTCAGTGATATTAATAACATAACTACTGATATTGCTGATATGATGTTCCAGCAGAAGAAACATTGAACCAATGATGGAGATGCCCTGCAGCTAGAGGTCAAAGAATCTGAAAGAGTAAAATGTATGAGCTTTCTGTGACATAACATTTCCCTAGGTAGAAAATTATTACAGATGGAAGTTATGTGGTGAAGCACATCATTAATGAGCGGGTAACATACTTCTGGATGAGGACATGGAAAAAGGCTGAGGTACTCAACAACTTATTTGCCTGAGTTTACTGGTGGCGTCTCTGTGGCTAGTGGCGGAATTTGGGGGAGTACCCACTATAGAAGAGGATTGAGTTACAAGCTATTTAAAGTAAAATGGACATGTAGAAGTCCATGAGGCTGGGCAGGATGCATCTGAAGGTGCCGAGGAAGCTGGTAGTTGCCACGAGGCTCAAAGTGTAGTGTAGTAACCAACAGTTGACTAACACAGCCTCTGGGTTGATGCTGGGCTGATACTGTTTGTTTAATATCTCTGTTCTCGACAAACAATATGAAACAAATAAAATTCTGAGCAAGAAAATTAATTGTAGCTTTGTACCTTCTGCTGCTGGAGTGCAGGATTCATTTTGATAGCTAAGATAGATAATGCAGTTAAGGGGCAGATCAAGAGGCTGTTGTAATGTATGGAGGGTGGTTCTGTTGGACACTGGAATGTGGATTTTTTTTAAACAAACCAAAAACAACAAAATGAAAAAAAAAAACCCTTGGATTTTAAAACCAGCAGCCTTTACTTTTAAATGCTCTGACTTGGAGCAGCCAATTTTAAAGGATTAAAGTGTTAATAGTGAAATAAATTGAAAAGAAAGAAAAGCAATACAAAAATTCTAGAGCTTTATCAAATGAGATTATCTGAAACGAAACAATGAGGAAACCCAATCAAATCTAGTAATAATTCTTTTAATTTACTATCTGTAGAGGTCAGTATAACCTAAGATGTTAGGAATGCAGTTCTGTACATTAAATGGTAGGATTTTTTACAGGCATTCAAGGTACATCTTTTTTGTACGACTTTGGACTTTCTGAGCATAAGATGAACTGCATGTTCCTCAGTCAAGTCATTTGTATGCCTACAGTGAAAGTGAACTATGGCAGAGGCCAGCTGAATGGCAGGAGGAATGCAGAAATGTTGCTGATCTATCTATTTCATTTATTTATTTGTTTGTAACATCTAATCTAAAAGCAGAAGGCTCCAAAGCAACAGGTTTTCTGACGACTTGACGTGGTTATTGCTGATGGTGGGAGGAAGCATACCTGTTCCTGGATTCCTCAGAGCATTGTAGCTTCTTCTCTAAGGAGTCCCAATGCAGGCTATTTACACCTTTGCTTAAAGAGGAGGATTTTTGAACAAGGCTTGTCTTCATTTGGAATCCAGATGCACTGTCTGCTAAGTGCTACCTCCAGCATTTCTGTTGCACTGAATACATTGAACTGTCTGCATTTGCTCCCAAGTTGAACAGCATGAAGTTGCAAGAAATTTTATGAGAAACGTATTTCCTTTTTTATAATTATTGTCAGTAAAATAATGAATGAAGCACTGCAAATTAGGCAATTAGATTAATTACGTTTAATGAGTGTGTGCATCTCTCAGCACTAATGTGAAGCTGTCTGTCTAATGCCTAGGACATACCTGAGTAGGACTTAGTAGTAACTTAACAGTGAGGAAGGACAGGACCTGCAGTTACCTAGATTGTCCTTTGAAACTTAGGTTTTAATGGGATATTATTTTAATACGAAGTGATATTTTGTGGACACCTGCCTTGGAATGAAGCCTACAGTAGCATATCAGCTTACTCTTTCTCTCCCTACAAAGCCTACAGAGCCCTTGCAGGTCATAATTGCTACCACTGGAAGAGTCCTGGAGCCTCAAAAGAGAAGGGAAATACATCATGTTAGCTGTACTTCAATCTTCCTTTCACCTTTTTGAGGGCTTTTTCCTATCCTATTTTGTCTGTGTGAAAAATACATAATCTTCTCTTGTATTTTCTGAAAAATACCCCATCACCACTATAACCATGACGTTTTATTTTACAATACCTAGGCTTTATTAGAAATCCCTCTTTTCTGTAATTTTCTTTTTTGCAAATAGCTCTAAGAAAGAAGACAAGCTTAATATCTTAAAAAAAAAAAAAAAATCCATTCTGTGCATGACCACACCCTCCCAAAAATATTGGAACTGAGACTTAGCCAAAACTGCTGACAAGGTGAGCTGAGAGAGGTAACACTCTTCTCAGCAGCATAAACCCTTTGCAGTAACTCTGGGAACAGAAGAGCTGCAAGGAAACTGCCAGCTTGTCTCTGTCCTCTCTAACCCTTTTTAAAAAGTATTCCCAATACTGGACTTCGCAGAAAGCGCAAAGGTAATCTGAAGAACTTTCTTCTAGCTTCAAGCTCTAACTGATAACGTGGGTTTTTATAATAGAGCACTGTAATTTGAAGCGGTGCCACTGAACTAAATCTTTCAGTTTCTAAAGCTAGCAGCACTAATTTATTTAGGAGCTTACAAAGCTCATCTAAAATAAGCGTACAACCATGTAAACCTTGAGCCCCTGACAACGTGCTAAGAAGGAGCAGGAAAACTGCAGGTGTACTTCAGGAGCTGCTCGTTTGAAATTTTTTTTAATGAGCTGCCTAAAACAATTCAACTCAATGTAGGTTTAAAAATTACACTTGTGTCTTAACAAGTTGCAAAAAGAGAACAATTATACTGTTTGCACTTTGGCCTGTTCAGTGAAAAACAAACAAAAAAAGTGAAGACTACTTTTTAAAAGTGGAGTGTACAGTTGCCGTCCCGACTAGTATACAGTGCTATCAGCCCTACTTAGCCTTTATCAGAGATTTCACATCACAGCTGGCTGTTGCAATTGGTGCCCAGTAAGTGTAAATATTTCTTTCTATGACCCACTGCATTTTACAAAGTATTCAAATAAAACAGTCTGGCTTATGTCAGGTGCAATCAAATGTACTATTAAAATTTGAAGGAAACAGAAATTGCTCATTGTTCATAAATGAGCAATATACCACCATAAGTGGTAGAACCGTTTTGTTCTGCATGTTTATCTTGGGCAAAAAAACAAAATGTCTTTTGGGAATCTTTTTTGTGGAGCATCCTAATTCAAATTTAGAGTTGTGAAATTTCAACAGATGATGCACTAAGAGCAATACAAGATTCTTATTCTCTGGATATTCCTCAAGCATTAACTCCAGCTAGCCATGTTTATATTTTAAGTTATTTGCTTTGCCAGGGTGAGTATGTTTGCCTAAAGAAGAACAGCACATGGATTGCTTTAAGGGTCCCAAAGTCCTTCTCAGTTTGTATTTTACTGCTTCTGCACACATGTAGGGAAGAAATTCCCTGTCTCCGTCCTGTATGACATCTTCTCCAGCAGCAGGTGTTCATTGTCCTTCATCTGTACTTATTTCTTCAGGAACTTCCCAGTTGCTGCAGCTCTTTACTATTTAACAGAATTAAAAAGCCAGGAAAATGAACTAATGGCTTTATTAGGGCAGATAGATAGATATATTGATAGCATAATCCTTGATGGAAACATATTTTGAGCTAATGGGAAGATAATGCCTCAGCTTCAGCAACTCTACGTTATTTTGCTGGTGAGCCTCTGGCAGGCTGATGAGAGGTCACTGCAGTCTCTGTAAGGACTCTGTATTTCAAGATAGGATGTAGAATTATACAAGCAGTGCCAGGAAATTAAGTGCGGAGGTAAATCCTGTCAACCCTTTTAGGTTTGTATCGACAAAGAAATATTTAGCAGTGTGTTAAGACAAAGCCTGAAATGTTTCAGGTAATTAATATTAAATATTAATCTGATCTGAGAAATACCAAGGGTGTTTACAGATATAGAAAGAGGTCATTTATTCTTCATTCTGCAAACAATAAGAAAATACCATTTTCTGTGTATATTCCCTTCACTATGCTAAAGAGACTTCCACTAAGTTGCTGGCTTGACAGCTCAATGAGACAAGTCTCTCCCAAACCTAGCTTGGTTTTTGGGGTCTGGTGTTTGCCAGCTGCCCAAACATAACTGCTGTGCTCATACTGGTAGAATGTTGTACTTTTAGTCATTGCTTATCCGCAAACTGAGCTGAGTCTGGACTTCTCACCTGGACTTCTCACCTTCCAAGACCAGATGCATTTTTTTAAGGTGGTAGAAGCAGGCAGGGGTCAAATTTCAATGAATGGTGAGGCATTACAGAAAATAAAAATATAGGTAGCTGAACACCAAGCCATAATACAGCTGCTGTGATAAACAGTACTTGGTTTGGGGGACAAACAGAAATGCATACTGATCCAAATTCATTTATTTACCCATTTTCCAAAATGGCATCCAAAGACATCTGGACTGAAATAAATAGAGCAGTTTGTGCTGATACAGTGATACAAGCCATGGTTTTCTAAACTGGCAGGTGGAGAGCTTGAGAGTGCTCAGATGTTCTCGTTACTACGTTTTCATAAGCAAAGATTTCTTTGGAGGGAATAAAGTTTATTTCTGTCACCATGAGAATGAACGTTTTGCTTTTATAATGTCAGAACCATTGGAACTAAATTCATCTCTTCTCTGTGTTAGGGCTTCCATCAAGTCAATGACACTACTTAGATTTAAGTTACACCCCAGGATACCAAGCATAACAATCAGCCCCATGTACCACCGGTTATTCTTCTACCATTTGCATCACAGAGAGCTTACAATGAACAACTGCTTGCTCTCAAGTGAAGCCCTGTTTTGTCTGAAGACAGTGGTGAAATATGTGGTCTTTCTATACAGAAAAAAGGTCAATATAGTGTCCTGTCAATGCAGCCAATATAGCTATCTTGTTTATAGTAAAAAGGTTAAACTTGTAAAAATTTAATTTCAGGGTAAGATGGTGAAAGGCATGGGGGGTGCCATGGACCTGGTATCCAGCGCACAGACAAAAGTGGTTGTCACCATGGAACATTCAGCCAAGGTAAGGCTCTGCCGCTTCTTTCTAAATGAATATTCTGTGCTGTACCAAAAAAAAGATATCTTACACTGATTGTCCCTCTTTGTGAGGGTTTGACAGTTTTGCTGTTAGCTATTATGGAGGTACAACAGGGGGTTAGTGTGGTTCCTTGCCTCTTGTAAGCGAACCATTCGCCCTGGAAAAATTAAATATTAAGTTGGGTTTTAAAAACTGCACACATTTTTTAGTTACTTATGCAAATTTAATTAGTGGCAATCGCCAGAGCTGCAGTAAATGCTGCCTAGGTTTTTTACTCTTTACCTCAGGACAACTGGAAAAATGAGTTTTCCTATGGCTAAACACTTGCTATTATGAAAATATTTTTACCTTTGAAGTTGCCAATCAAATTAGTACTTACAAATAATAAAGTGGATCTTTTTGGTATGATATGGTGCGAGCTGCCTTACATATTATATTATTATATGATAGAAGTTAATCTGGAGAATTTTTTGTGTGGAAGGTTTGTAGACATAAACAGCCTCCCACAGAAAGTCCTAAGAACCTTGTCATTTGAAACGTCTAAAACTGGGCTGTCCAGGATATGAGAAAAATGGACTGAAGGCCAAAATCTCTATTCTGAGGGAACTGGAATAGATATTTTAAAATTAACCTTTTCTTTCATTTATGTGTTTCTGTTATTCCAACTCTATTGTATGTCTGCAATAAGAATTACTTATCTATGTGTGAGGTTTATATCCCTGCCAGGACATATTAGGGCAAGCGTAAGGAGTCTTCATGGTAGTAAATAGGAAAGTTAAATATATTAACAGTTTTGGTTGTTTAAAATCTGATTTAAGGAATTAATTTTCACTTTCAAAAAATTACTATTAAAAATATGGAATTTGCACAATTTATACTAAGCTGTGATCTCAAGGGGCACATTTTCAGTAACAGGATTGAGACTGACCCAAAAGTGCATGGGAAAAGCAAATTTGTGTGTGTCTTGCTCCTCTATCCCAGTCCCCCCAAAATTGGATGTGCAATTACCCATTTGCTTAGACACATGCTTCTGTTATTACTGTCGTCTGAATGAATTTTTATTTCTAACTTCCAGATACTGTGGAATTCAGTTAGGGCTCTGAGTCCACACACACTGCAATGATTCATGCCATTTTAGCTCTTTAAAATGCTATTGCCAAAGTCTTTTTTCAGTAAAGTGCTTGGAAGTTGTTTGCTGGTTGTTTTTAGTCAGTAGGAGTACTGAAACCTGAGAAGGATGGAAACACAGGTTGGTTCACTATTATAAACAGTGCAGGCATAGACTTACTTATTTTTGTGTATGTATACATAGTTTGGGCCATTAGGTACAAGGGATGCCTGGGGTGGACTTCTTGAAAGACTATTGTAGGCTTTCGTAAAGTATTTCTTCTGCTTCTGCTTTTTGTTAGAAAGCACTGCAAAAATAAACAGTGTAATTTTGCATTATATACTTATTTTAAAATGGAGGCTACTGGTATTCTTGGAGCACTTTCCTCTTAAGGAGCTTCTTTTTGGGGGTCTTCATACTTCTTCTTCCAGAAGTGAAGAGGCTGAAATATATAAATCTTTTGTTCAGAAATCCAAAGCTGCTGTTACAGCCACAGATGCTCCTTTTTTTATTCTTTCCTTTTTTTTTCATTTTGTATGCACAAACAAATTTATAGTACCTGTGACACAAGTTCTGAAAGTCAGAAGCCTTCTATTGGAGTGATTACTTCTTATAGAGCTGATTTTACGTTCAGGTCCTTTTATTTCTTTACTCTAAAGATGTTCTCACAAACTGTTATTTCATCCGTAACTAAGAAGCACTTCAAACATCTCAGGAGCACTCTTTTGTCCTGCTCAGAGCACAGTATGCTACTGAGTGAAAGAAATGTATGTATGTACTGTGAGAATATGCTGGTTTGTTCAGAGGTGTACTAGCAAGAAGCTGATGATACAGTGGCTGTATTTTTTGTATGTCTTCTAGCTTATAAGAACAGGGATGTTTTTGTTGTCTTGTTTTCCCAATAAATAGTATCTATTACTAGATACTAAAGCCACTTGTAAATCAACAGGAGTCAAGAACTGATGGCCTGAAATACAGTGGAAGGCTATGGGATGTACACAGTATCTTCAATGAACACGTTCAAGAGTTGTTGCAGTAGACAGTTCTTGTAATCAGTTTTGTCTGATTTGTGATCTTATAAAGGACCTTTGTAATCCCTTTCAAGTTTCTTTTTATTAAGCGCGATGGCATGTTAAACCTTAAAATACAATTTCTTAGAATTTAAAAGTTCATTCTCTGTTCAGTATGCGTTGTAGTTTTTAAACGTCTCACGATGTTGAGTCCTTGCAGTGAACACAAGACACAATTTATGCTTAAATTATGAAGGTGAATCTAGTATCTCTCTTAATGCTCAAAGAAATACTCCAGGGATTTTCTTCTTTTTAAACTGTGATATACAGTATGCTATAAACAAAACTAAACACCCTCTGCTCCACATTGTTTCAATAACAATGTTTACATTTAATTGAAAATAAAAAGGTACAGAAAAAGGATGATGACATGAAATGACTTTTGTAGAAGACTCTTCAGCTTAAGAAAGAGATCATTAAGGGAGAATAACAGAGAAGCATATAAAATAATGGCATGGAGAAGGTAGATGCACAATGTTTTGTTACTATCCTGTAAAAGAACTGGTGGGAGCCAAGTGAAATTAGTAAGTAGCAGGTTTAAAACAACAAGGAAATATTTTTTCGCAGACAACTAACAAAGTTGTGCATCATTGGCAGGATGTTGTAGGAGCTCAAAGTATTAAGTTTATCTGGGAGTGATTAAACTGGTTTATGAGGCTAGGCTCATCATTGACAAATAAATAGGATTGTCCAGAAGCAGCCTCCATCTCAAGAAATCCATAAATCACAGCAAGTCAGGAACCAGGAGGGCACTGTGGGAGACTGGGCAAAGGGACCTTAAGTCTAACTCTTAATGGTAGTTCTTTAATGTATTTTTTACTAAATTAACTTTTTTCTTTATAACTGTGAAGAACAATAGTACAGGAGTAGTAATGTTTTTTAATCTACTGAACAGACACTGTGCCCAAGTTGTGAAATATTGCTATAGGTTTCTCTTACTTATAAGAGAAATAAAAATCAAGTTCTTAACCCATACCATCACTGGCCTTCTTTGCAAGAAATAATAAAGTACTGGCTGATAATGGTTCCATGTTGTTGTTCCACTGTCGTCTACCAGGACTTCAGCAAGGCTTTTGACACTGTCTCTCATCACCGCCTCATAGGCAAGCTCAGGAAGCGTGGGTTGGATGAGTGGACAGTGAGGTGGATTGAGACCTGGCTGGATGGCAGAGCTCAGAGGGTTGCGGTCATTGGCCCTGGGTCCAGTCTTGTTCAGCATATTTATCAATGACCTAGATGAAGGGACAGAGCGCACCCTCAGCAACTTTGCTGATACAAAGCTGGGAGGAGCAGCTGATACACCAGAGGGCTGTGCTGCCATTCAGAAGGACCTGGACAGGCTGGAGAGATGGGCAGAGGGAAACCTCCTGAAGTTCAACAGAGGGAAGCGCAGGGTCCTGCAGCTGGGGAGGAATAACCTCACGCACCAGTACAGGCTGGGGGTTGACCTGCTGGAAAGCAGCTCTGCAGAGAAGGACCTGGGAGTCCTGGTGGACAACAAGGTGACCATGAGCCAGCAATGTGCCCCTTGTGGCCAAGAAGGCCAATGGTATTATGGGGTACATTAGGAAGAGTGTTGCCAGCAGGTCAAGGGTGATGACCCTCCCCCTCTCCTCAGCCCTGGGGAGGCCTCACCTGGAGTACTGTGTCCAGCTCTGGGCTCCCCAGTACAAGAGAGACATGGAGCTCTTGGAGTGAGTCCAGTGAAAAGGCCACAAAGATGATTAAGGGACTGAAGCATCTCTCCTATGAGGAAAGGCTGCGAGAGCTGGGCCTGTTCAGTCTGGAGAAGAGAAGGCTCAGAGGGGATCTGATCACTGTGTATAAGTATCTGAAGGGGAGGGGGGGTGTCGAGAGGATGAGGCCAGCCTCTTCTCCGTGGTGCCCAGCAATAGGACGGGAGGCAATGAGCACAAACTGACACACAGGAAGATCTGTCTGGACATAAGGAAAAACTTCTTTCCTGTGAGGGTGACTGAGCACTGGCAGAGGTTGCCCAGAGAGGTGGTGGAGTCTCCTTCCCTGGAGATATTCAAAACCCGCCTGGACGCGATCCTGGGCAATGGGCTCTAGAGGTCCCTGCTTGAGCAGGGGGATTGGACTAGATGATCTCCAGAGGTCTCTTCCAACCTCGGCCATTCTGTGATTCTGTGGATCTGACTGAAGTATGGAATATTGAATTGAAATGCTCTTTTCTATCATTGTGAATAGTTTTGATTTTGATGCATTGTGGAGTATTAAGGACATTTTTTGTTCTTCAGCAACAGAATATTTTGTTTAAAGCAGATGGAAGTACCTTAAGGTTTTGGACATCTACAAAAAAAAAAATCTTTCCTGAATTTATCTGAACAAATCCTATAAAAAATCCTATGAATTTATCTGAACAAATCCTATAAAAAAATGCATGCAGTTCCATTTGCACTCCCATTCTGATGGTGCCCTGAAAGCACAGATGGTGACGGATGAGTTCTAAAAGTCACCTTTAATGCTAACTGGTAATATTATAATCTTCAGATCAACTGTTAAGAAGGTGCAATGTGTCAGTGCTCAGGGTCACAGGAACCATTCAAGCTGTCACCTCCTCAAGTCCATATGTTTCAATCTCAATTGGGTGCCGGGAAGGGATATTGCATATCATATGCCTTAGAAGTACACCTGATATGTTACTGAAAATGTTAAAAATAGCACAGATTAATAAAAAAAAGAAAGAGTGCAAGAAGGTCCTTGAGATGGACACAATATAAGCTGATCGACTACAAGTAATGCTCTGCCTCAAGTCATTATTTTCATTAAAAGTGAGTCAGTTTCAGTCTAATCAGAGTAGTTGCCTTGATATGAGATGTGGATCTTGCCAGCATAATTAGAATGAAGAAATAATTCTTCACAGAAGAAGATAAATTCAGATCACACAGATTGCTCATTTTGTCATCATTCAGAAATCAGACTGGCTGAGGTATAGTTGCCCAGTTTATTTAAGCCTTAAGGCAAATGGATGATCACAGAATGATTGTAAATTAATTGATGATTGTAAATTAAAAAAATTAAATTAAAAATTGCATTCAGATGATTAAATTAGACTTACTACACTCCGAGATCTTTAAAATGCATAACTGAAAACTGATAATTAGAGAAAAATTAAAAGCATGTGATAAAGGGAGAGATGCTCAAAGCTACCTCTGTAAAATGGCTACAAATAGCGACTAAAAGTGCAGTGATCCATCCATTTCGTATCCATTCAGAGCGCTTTCAGCCTACATTCATTTGGCAGGATCTAAAGCCATTTGTGAACTCCTATTAAAAAAAAAAAAAGAACAATATAAAAAAAAAAAGAGTAACTCCCCACCCAACCCTAAACATCCAGCTTCCTATCAAAACTATGTCTTTTCATCAGGTGATATTTCTTACAAGATTTAGCATAGCTGGCATTTGGTGTCCCAGAAAGAAAGGGCCTGAAAGTAAATTGTTTTTTTGCCTTTCTCTAATTTGTTGTTGACATGTCATCAGTGAGGTTCCATCTGTCTCTTTTCCTCACGTGCCAGTAGGAAGGAAAAAAATTAAGCAGAAGTATGCTGAACTTCTAAACTCAGGAATCCACTGTGATATAGCGAGAGTCTTATTAGTCATCTCGCTTTATGTAGGATTTAAGTAAGAACTGTCCCAAATTGTTTGAGATATAATCTGCCATAGAGGCGCATTCTAACAATGTTCTGTGAGTACTGTGGGATTTCAATAATGCTGAGTGTCTTCAGCTGTGATGTTCCTTTTTCATGTTCATATTTGAATGCTGAGTAAGTTGGATTGTTTTTGAAAATTAATGTTTGTCTGTATCTTGTTAAACACAGGGCAATGTCCATAAAATCCTGGAAAAATGCAGTTTACCACTTACTGGGAAACAATGTGTAAATCGCATCATTACAGAAAAGGTAAAGTACTTGAATCCTTGTCAATCCTTTCATCCTCTATCCTTGAGAAATGCCGCTTAGTAGAAGTAGCAAAGCTTAGTAAAAGTGAAGATTGTATTCTGTATCTGTTACCAACAAAGGGTAAAGATTCCCTTGGAGTTCAATTCCCCAGGCTCAGTGGCTCATATTTTTTCTTGTAAAGCTTTCACCAGAGACATCTAACATACTGGACCACATTCTTAAATACCTTCAGAACAGAGATGCCACGCATGAGCACTATTTATGCAAAGTTATGTATCTACTTATTATTCCCAACGCGTATCTGAAAATTGTCCTTGAGAGATGTAAATTCTCAAACACAATTTTAAGGGAGCTGTGTCACAAATCACTTTTTCCAGTGGAAGAACAACTGTAGCAATATACATCAGACAGTTGGCACCTTCCTTGCTGTACGCTTCAGGCTCTTTTAGAGAAGATGTTAACAGTACCTGTAATTATACCAGGGCTTTAATTCTTTTGTCCTTACCTGAAGTCCGTTTGTGAAGCAATTTACTCTCCAGTTTAAGTCCATGAGAGTGTGTGACCTTGCTGCTGCTCAAAGTAAGTTAGTGGATGTTTTCAGTACAGGATAAGTGACTTAGGTTTTTGCTGTAATCATACTTCTTTCATTGTCAATGTTTACATATTTAAGGGCTAAAAGTAGTCTCCCTGTGATCCTTTTGTCACACTAAGTAGAACGCTTCAAAGTGCACATTTACTTTCTCCCTGTGGTCTGTTACCACCGTTATTTAAAGGCTTCCTCCACATAGTAGGGAAAAATAGATGAACACGTGGAAGTTTGTTCACAGTCTTCTACTATCTTGCCAAATACAGACGTAAAGTGCAAAAAAAAAGAGTCTGAACAAGAACTGATAGAAAATAAACACTTGGAGAAATTTCTTTAAGCATCACCACCTAGATCTTGTTGTTTTGTAAGGAGATGACACAAAGTTATAACAGCACTTAAAATGGATTGCAAACTGTTTCCCTACCAGCTTTCTTGGGTGGATGTTTCTTACTCCCAACCTCTGTCTTAAGATTTAGATTGGCTATCACATTTTAGTCCCGTGAATCAGTCTCATATACCCAGAGGAGGATAGCTGAGCTTCAGTACACTTCTGTGATGAGCTTAAAACTTCACTTTCCGTCCGAGTTCAATCTTCACTAGACTTTTTCTACTGACTTTCTTTATGGAAATGTCTAGTCTTTATGGTTTCCCTGGCAACTAGCTTGTGACTCGTATATCTTCCTCTGGCAGGCACTATTAAAGTGCACATCATTTTACAGGTGTTTTTATTTGATGTGCTTGAGAGTCTTGGGAGTGAAAATCATGTCCTGTGAAGACATTAGAAAGAGCAGCCTTTGCCCCTTTAGCCATCTCCTCCCAGGCTTTCTATTACAGATAAAACAAAAAGCCTTCTCTCATTGCTAACTTCTGAAAACAGTAAAATCTGTACTGAAATCGGGTGTGCAACTGATGTTGGTGAAGATCATCCTCTGTTGATGATTCAGTGATAAGCCACTCTGTACCTCTCTGCTGCCCTAAAAACACAGACAATACCTCCCTTATTCTTCCCTATTTTCTGTTGTGATCTCTTGGTGAGCATTGCCTTGTAGCAAAGGATGTCTCTGCCCTTTCCTTTGCCCTCTCCCAGTTCTCACCAGATTGAAGCAGAAGGCACAGTCCTCATTTTATGTGCAGAAAAGCAGGAACATGTTTTTCACTCAAAATTAACATGCCTCATACTTCATAATCTTTCAAGTAGAGATGAATGTTGGAGAAACCTTTATTGGTCAGTCAGAAATGTGTAAAGTGATACTGATTGATAATGGTATCATTTGTTACTGATAAAACTTATTTCAATGGATTTTGTACAATATAACTGTTTATTTCCTTGCTATCTGTTTTCATGTTTAAAAAAAAAAACCAACTACTTGTATGCTATTTGAACCTGGCAGGCTGTGTTTGATGTGGACAAGAAAAAGGGGCTGACCCTTGTGGAAATCTGGGAAGGACTGTCAGTGGATGATATCAAGAAAAGCACTGGCTGTGACTTCACAGTAAGTCATTCTATGAACAAATATAATTATTCCCTTGTCAGAAAAAATAGTCTTTACAGCTAGTTAATACATGATGACTTCTAGATCCAGTAAGTTTCCCCTTTGCAGGTGGAAAGGTATTGGGTAGATTGCCTGTGGGATTTACGGTGAAACTAGGAAGAGACCCTATGGGACATCTTAGGGCTAATCAAGTATGATTGTATTAGGCACTGGAATTAGAATCCACCTGGATAAGACAGAAGAGATAGGAAAATGGTCAAGATTAAAAAGGGTAATGTGGGAACTTTTTGTAATGCTCTGAAGAGGACAGCTGATTCATATCTGAGGTGGATGAGTATTCGTTCTTCCTCTGTATACATTGATTTACCTAACCCTCTATTGGTAAGTTTTCATAATATCTGTAGATGGGGTTGTGACTCTTCTCAGCAAGGGTGACTACATGTGTCCACTCTGTGCCACTGATGCTGTTCATTTACATGATTCTACTGCTGGTATTTTTGCTCTTTCTTTCCTGTTGTCTTACATGAATGAAACTTGTGTTCTGCATTAATCCATAAAGTCACTGCCTTTACACCTTCACATTCCTTCTTAAGAGATTCACTTAATGCCAATACAAAACTGACTGATTAATGGAAAGCTGTAATACACTGGAGTATAACTGAAGAGACATTTAATGAAACTGATTCCATATGTGTGGCTGATAACAAATATAGTTTCTTCATGTCCTTCTCCCACATGCGAGTTATGATGTTTATTCTCTTGTGTTGTAAAGTTTTGTGGGGTAGGTCAGCCCTCTTTAGGTGAGGACACTGACTATGACAGTATACAGTTTGTGCTGTAAGAACAGCTGGGGAACATTTGGTAATGGAGCGCTGTACTCTGGATATCTTCCTCTTTGCAGAGTTGCATGGCAGGGCTAGGGCACATAATTGTAAGCCTGCAGAGCAGTTATTAGGTCAAAGAGTTTGTTATTAAGGCTTTGAAAACTATTGGCAGTAAGTAAAAAAAATTCTGAACAATGTGCTTTGAAAGCCTGGGGAATTTCATTCATTCTCTGTGTCCATAAAAATAATTTTTGATAGCCAAATATGATAGCATATGTTTTTCTTATGGAGTTCAAAATATTTTAAATAAAAAGCAGTTCACTACATAGTCATTCATTTACATGAATATATTCATTTCTCTGAGAAAAATTATCTTAAAGATGATTGACCTGCAACTGCATCGTGCAGGAGGAAATTTGCTACAAGCCACTTTGCTCCATTATTCATTTTCCATTTTTTGGAAGATTTTGGTGGAAGTCTTTATTATTTTTTAATTTACAGTGAAAGCAAACTTCCATATTCAGCCATTCTATGTGCAAAAGAAGTTGTTTATTCAGTTTCTCCCAGGGATTTAGCGAAAAGTGATCAATTTTTTAAAACTGTGATAATGTCATGGCTCATCTCTCTTTGGCTGATCAGCCTCTCAAACAGCTAACATCCAAACCTGAAACATAAAAACTGAACTTATAGATTTATATTTGTTGCAGTCAATCACTATTTTATTCTTGCATGTTTAATTTTGGGATTCACTTCATGATGAATTTGAACGTGCCACGATTAGTAAGCATTTATATAGACTGAAGTTACAGGAAAGGACTTTATTGTCAGAGGATACTGGTGCTTAGATGCATTACCTGTTTGTTTGGAAGGAGTTGCTTTATTTTTGGTCAGGTAAACAATGTGCTGTTTTAAACTGGCTGTGTATTACCCAAAGTGAGGTCCAACAGCCTATGCTTGAGGCAGTAAAAGCAGAACCAGCCAAGGGATTCAGAGAAAGAGGTGACAAGCTCAAAATTATGGGTCATGAGATTAAGCCTTGCAGCAGTAACTCTGAATGGGTAAGACAGGGCAAGACTGTAGCTATCAGGACCAAAGAAAAGTTTATCACCACCCACTGGCACTTACTGCTTTCCTGTAAATGGACAGGAGTGGTACAAATTCTGAATCTTTAGGTTTGCCTTTAAATAGCAATTGAGGAGAGAGAGAGCAATATATCATTGAGGTCCCTGGAATGTGTCTCACTGGGATCAGGAAGGGACTCTTCAAAAGCACCTGGATTCCTGACGCTCAAAAAGGCAAACTCCAGTGCAGCCTGTTTGTACAACTGCTTGGTCATGCATGAAATGATGAGTTGCACTAAAAGAACTGTGGGCATGAAAAATGTAGATGCTGCTTGGTTTATGTGCTTTCATATACATATCTTGAAAGCGTGCAGCTTGCATAAACGCTTGCAAAGCACATACTTTGCTGAGCTCTGCCAGGATATGTGCTTGGGTCAGCGTTACCTGCTGACTGGTAGTTCCAAAAGCACCTGAAATCTTTATAGCTCTGCAGACGGAAGGGATTTGTTTAATTCAGCAATAGCATGGAAAATCACTGGCTCTTCCTCGCTGTTTGTTTTTTTTTTCCTTTAAAGAATGTTTCCAGGCCACGGTGACCCAGTCCTCCTCTCATTGCAGTCCTTAGCAAAACTTCTGTTGATACCAGTGACAGCAACCCTGGGTTACTGTTGTGTGAAGTTGGACCCTTGAGGGCCTGATTTTCATACACAGAGAATACCTACCGCTCCCTCACTTCATTTTGAAGTTAAGAAAATAGAGGTTTGAGCACTGTGGTAGACAGTTGTTCAAAAAGTAGTATCCTTGGTCCTTTTTTTCCACATATCAATACACTGCCTCAGGCTTCCTTACAAGAGTAGCAGTTGCACTTGTGATTCTTTATGTTCACTGAATGAAACGTCTTGTTTACATTGCTGACAGGGACTATAATGATATTTTATTGCGATAGTAAAAGCAGAATTTTAGCATCATGTATCATGCTAGTTTGAAACAAGACTAGTAGATGGAAAATGAGGAGTTGATGTTTTTCTGACAACGTTTTTGCAGTTAAGAGAACAATCTTAACTAAAATTAGCACGTCTTTATATTCATTACAACTGAGAATTTAAGGGCTGACTGTACGTTCACATTGTACTACCTGTGCGAGCTACTTTTCTTTGTAGAGGAGAGCTTTGTAGCCTCTACGACATTGAGAGACGTTGGGCCATGCATTCCCATTTGCACAGTCTGCTTATTTGGGAAAAAATCTCCTAAAGGACATTTGCAACAGCAAAATGTCAAAGGAAAAATGATTTAGAGTCAGCAATCTTGATTATAGACTGGCATCATATCAAAAAGAAACAATTCACCCTCAGTTTCACTGTGCTGTGAAGACAAAGTATTGGCTTATCTTGTATGCTTAAATCAGATCTGCTGCTGCCTAGCATATAGATCACCTTGGCAGGTAATCTGTTTTGACTTGTACCGGCTCATACCTTTGATGAGACCATCAGAGAACAGACCAAGAAATAAAACTTTTGCAGATGTATTTCATTATAAAAATAGTCAGGGAAAGTCTCTCTATGTAAAAATTCCTCTCCCCTTTTTCCAATCTGAAAGCTGAGTTTTACAAAAAGAGCTGAAAAGATAACATGGAGTTTAGGAAAAGCGGCTGCCAGGAGAAAAGAAACACAACATAGTTGAATAGCACTTGCCTCATCTATGGTTATAAAGAAATTGAAACCATCCAAGTTCAAGCCAATGAGTGAAAAATAATAAATAGCATTGAGAGAGATATGATATCAGCAAGCTCAATGTAGTTTTATTTAACAGCAGTATTTTTTCCTTAAAAGAAATGTTGGAGGATGAAGTCTGTTTTTAAATGGAATTGCATTTTGTCCTGATCATTCAGCTCCGCTAAAAAAATCATGTTAGCAACAGACTTCTGTGCAAAAGCTGATGCTAGAATTGTGGTTTGCTTTTATCTGTAATTTCAAGTAATTTGGAGTTAAGAAGTAGTAAACAACTTTTATTATTTTAATGAACAAATATGGTAATACATTTTTTTTTTTTGAGGGAATGTTTTTACACTGTTGGCACAATAATTTGCTTTTGCAACTCCTGATGAGATCAGGAAAGATTATTAGGATTCAGTACCATTCAAGATCAGGCCTAGATAGAACTGCTAGCTTGCTATAAATAAACATAACAAAGTGAGCATGCAGGTGTTTGTGTAGCTGAAAAGGATAGTATGAGGTTGAAAATCAAGGAGTCAACCTGCTTGAATTGCAGGGAGTTCCTGAGGTCATCTGTCCTCAGCCAACTTTTTCCTCTTACCCAGTTCTGATGCGGCATAGCAGGCTGGTGAGGCACACGGCTCCCAGTATACGTCTTCACCTTTGGCAGACTATTCTGAAGCTTCCAAGATGAGCTAGTCTGTCCATCCATGAAGTAATACTAAGGGAATGTGTTGCTTAGAATGATCTTTAAGAAAGTAATTACTCTGTGGTAGTACACTTTGGAATAGTCTTTGGTAAGCGCGTTCAGCCCTTAGCGAATGCTATGCTGTTAGCATAGGGTGATACTGAATTAAAAGGCTCTACTGGGATTTAAAGCAGTGGACTCGGGGGGGCTTTCAGACTTGATGACTCCCTGCTTTCCAACCCCAAACTGTCTCGTTTGTTACATTAGCAATTTTCTGCTTATTTAATCATATTTCTTTAGAGCAAACTGTTCTGCTTGGGCCAGCTTCTGCAAGGTGCTGAGCTCTCACCGCCTTTATGTCCAGCAGGCCGTGTGGCACCTCAGCACCTCTTGGGATCAGACCCTTACTGGAGCAGATCGTGGTACACACAAATGACAGCTGTTAGCATCAAATGTGCAGACATTACATTTAATGTAATATGCTCATTCAGATATAAAACACTTGAGGTTTTGATGGCACCAAAAACTATGACAGCAGAAAAACAATAATCTTTTCTGGTAATTGTCTGTTGTCATGATTTTCAGAATATAGATTTTAATGGTACCATCTCTGTCCTCCAGTTTTTGTCTGTACTTCAATGGAACCATTCCTGGGTGAGGGATGCTACTTCAGGACGACAGAAATAGACTACATTAAGTGAAGCACGCATCCACTTTGGAAATGTTGAAACACTTCTGAAACTAACCCAAGAATGTTTGTACAGTCAGGAAGTTTCTCCGGCTCCTCCACACTTGTAGCTATTACATCTATTTATTATCCCATTCCCTACAGAACTTTGAAAGATCAGTGAATGGTTTCCATCCACCAAAAATACTCCATTAGCATTTGATACAGTAAACACATTCTTCATGAACTAAGCTTTTTCCCTCAGTGGCTGTTTTCATAAGGTCTGTTTATAAGTGATGCTATATTGTGGTGGAGGAAGGGTAACTTAGAAATCTAACATACAGGAAATATAGACCTATACTTCTAAAAGAAAGAGGCTTTAGTGCTTGGAAAGGTCTTTATATGTCATTCTTTCATAAGTTAGCTTGTTCAGTAGTGTTAAGTGAAAAAGATGGGGTAAGGAGGCAGAAGGAATGCATTAGGTGATATTTCACTTGGGACACTTAATCAACTAAGAGCCAAGTATCCATGGAATTGTTTTTCATCCTGCACAAGTAAGATCATATGAATCATTTCTGATCTTCCTCCTGAGACACCTATTTAAATAGGGCTGGGACCAGATGATATTTTAAGAGATCTTTTGTGGAGATCTTCTCCACAGAATATTTGTGTAGAGCTACAGTCAAGGTTCAACTGTTTGTTAACCATTGGTACTCCTCACTCCAAAATCTTCTCTATTTTGTTCCTATTTACACCCTCTTTCCTCCTCTACTTCCCTATTTAGGCTTACGGTCTTTTATATATTGTCTGCTAGATTTCTTATAATACCATTAATTGATTTTTATTACTGTGTAGAACCAAAAGAACGCAATACATAAATGTGTCCTGACATGAAAATGAACGTGAATGGAAGAAGGCAAGGAATAAAAATGAATTTGATATTAGTTTGAGTTGGAAATATTGAACTTTGCATGCAGTATACTGTGCGTTTGAGTTGATTGTCTATCCACTGCTAATACCCACGTTCTAAAACCCAGTTGACTCCTTCTGTGTAGACCCACCATTGGCTGACAGCATCCTATTGCTTGGTGTATGGGAAGAGAGGCAGAATGAACTTGGCTATTGAGCAAAGAAGGGAAATCAGTAGTTTAAGATTCTTTGGCAGGCTTGTTTTATTATTGCAGTGACAATTCAGTAATGTGTTGAAAATAATCTGTTTTGTTGCCTCTGAATCATTCCGGGCATTGATGTGCGAATGCAAGTGGATTAAAAGGTGATGGCTGAAGTGGTTGCCTGTCTCCAGCTATCTGTCCTGTTGCTGTTTGTGGCAAGTGCAGCCTCACCATACACAAAATAAAACTTTTTCTAGTCCGGTACATTAACCTAAGCCACAGCATATTTGAGTGATGTTAATGCACCATCCTGTACGCTGTATAACTGAGGAGCTGCTTCAGTGGCATTCAACTATCCCTTTTTCTGGCATCTGGGGCCCTCTAAGAGGACCTTTAAGTTAGCAGGGGCAAATACAGAGTCAGCTATCCAAGTTTAATCTGCTTGCAGTCTTAAATCAATAACGCAGCTCTTCAGTAAAGGAAGCTTACAAGCTGGATACTAGCATCACATGTATCTTGTATTACTGCATCAGAAAATTTAGTGGTGGGAGCATTTACCTCTGAAATACTCCAAGTATATAATTTTAAATAAATATAGTGTCTCTAATCTTCAGTGGCGGAAGTGAACTGTGGGTTACATTGCTATATCTGTATGCCGACTGTTGTGTTTTTTTTCCCCTCCTTTTTGCTAGGTTTCGCCAAAACTCATACCAATGAGGCAGATTTAAACCTGAAATGCAGACTGGGCTTGACTTGCCAGAAGGCTTGTCATCAAATGGGAGCTCAGTGAAGAGAAATGGATGTCTGTTTTGCAATTTTACCTTTTTTTTTTTTTTTTTGTTAAGGGCTTTGTAAGTAGTTTCCAGATGGTCAGGCTGTGACTAGCAGCCTAAATTGTATTTTTACTTATGTAACTTTACCAACTGTAATGGAATGGTGAATTTGTTCCCTAAATTTTGAATAACATTGTACTAAAATGTTAGCGAACCTTGTCAGAAAAATGCCTTGTAGTCTCTCTGCCAAAGACTACGTTTTTTTAAACAGAGATTCAGAAAATGCCTGTGCAAATTTATAATTGCCTCGGCTTTTGCTAATGATGTCATTAAACCTACAAATCACTCCTTTGCCCTAGAACTACAGCACTTAACTATGTTAATTCTCCTGTAAAACTGTGGGTTTCTTCTGGAGTGGTATATAACAAATGTACGCAGCTGTAGAGAGGCATCTGGACCTCTGGACTTCTCTTTTAATGAGTTGATGACAAAACTGTTTATATCACTGGAAACTGGGTCCTTAACCCTGAATGTATCTGCTGTTTCCATGGTGTCTGTTTGCTGGCATTAAGAAGCCTAGTCCTGCCAAAGTCCAGCTCTGACCCCTTCTATTTAAATGGTACAGGCTCAAATGAGACTAGCTTGAAGGAGAAAAATAAAAGGCCCCATCTCTGTCCAGACAACTGAGAGCTGCACAGTTGTCCCATGTTAATCACTGTCACTCTCTAGAGATGACCATTCTCCTCCCCAGCCTCCATTCAGAGGTAAGTGAAGACTGTTTTTGGCAAGAGGGCTGTCCTTCCAGTGTTACATAGAGAAACAGGTGATGTGGGCGCTTAGATTTGTTCTGAAGAAAATACAGTTGGTTGAGGGTAAAAGCAGCAAGTTTGCACCATTTGCTGATCAAGGCATCAGCAAATAGTCAAGTCTTTTGAACCCAAACTCATGATAACTAGAAGGCATGCCATGAGACAATCAAAATGAAAAGTTATTCTCTCATACTGGTTCTGATGTATGGTGAAGATCTCCCTTTTCCTGATCTTAATTACGAAGTGACTACGTAGCATAATTACGATTATATTTTCGATCTCACATCCCAGATCAGCACAATGTATCTTTGTCATGTAGAGCACGAGTTGACTGGAAATCTGCAATTACTAGAATATAATATTATTTACAGGTACAATGGTTTTATCATTCATCTCAATAGAAACACTTAAAAGACTTAAGTTAAAACAGTTCTTGACGTGTGTCTGACATCAGCACTGGAGCATGTTAAGTAAGTAATTGAAAAATAGGTAAAATATACAGGCATAAATATACATATGCCTATCATATATATGTGATGAGCAGAGTTGAGATATGGTACAGAAGGGCATTCTAATGCTAAATGGTATTCACTGTGTTCAGTGCATGTTACGGAAGGAATATAACACATTTCTAGGGAACCAGATATGAAATTCCTGCAATATCTAGCTCCTTGTGGCCTTGGACAGGTTAAGTAGCCTTTGCCCTGCATTTTTTCCATTCTAAAGTAAGAAATACTTTTTTTTCCATGGGACAGTTATAAAATTAGTCTTGATGCACACATGGGTTATACAGCAATAGAACTGTTTTGATTAGAGAGATTACTTTGGTTCAGTTGGACTTATTCTAAACGTTTCTTTGATAATGTCTTGCCAATACAAGTTACCTTTCCTCCCACAAAGGAATAAGAAAAATACCTTTGTAAGCACCTTTATACTAGTACAGAAGTACTTCCCATACTAGGCTGTATGACTTGAATTTTACTGTGATGCTAAGGGGTGGTAGGCCATTGTATAGCCTGTATGTGTAAGGCAAGACCCAGTGTGTTGGACACACGAGAAAGAAATGTGTTGTGCAAGGGCCTGATTTGTATGCAGGGTTTGAACCTACATTGAGCAAAGTGCTCCAGAATATTTTAACCCAGGATAAGCACAATTTTTTTTAACCTAGTTTTAGTTTTCATCTGTTTTCTCTGCTTAGGTATAGTCCCTATGGTATTCACTACTTCCAGCAAAGTTGCTTGCTTAAAGTTTGGCCATTTCTATTGCTATGGAATAATCTAAGTGTTGGACTTAAGTTCTACTCACTGAGGTTTTGCAGATTAAAAGTCTCCATATAACAAAAGGTGACTATATGGTCGCCCAGTATGAAACAATTTTGGTTTTGGATAGAGCAGCCAAGAGACCTTTGGCTCAGTCAAAGCCTCAGTCCATAGAGAGATTTCACTGAAAACTGTACTGTTTGTGGTGCTGTATGGAGCAGAAGATGCCTCTCATTGCCTTCAGAGCTGCGGATGGGTTAAGAGCTACACCGAGGGCATGGGTGGGATCCCAGGAGGAGTCTTGTTCATCATCACTTAGAGGTCTAGTAGAGAGCACTCAGAATGGATGCTGTTTTTTTTTGGGGGGGGGGGGGGGGAATATAAAAACTACTATGCAAGGGGGAACAGGGAGTTGCTATTAACTTATCCAGAAAGAAAGCTATATATTTAAATAAATGGGGAAACCTTTAATAAAATCTAGAAATGAAATGTTGATCTATTGCAATCACCTGCATTTATATTAATCTTAGTACTGAATAGTTAATTAGAGCATACATTTATCAGCATATGTAAGGTACAGGAGGAGTATCTAAGGGTAGCACTAGGTACATGTTTCTTCTTCCATGGAATTATGCTTTGCTGGCATACGCACAGAAGCCATAGTTGTCATTAAACTATGGCTGTTAAAAGACTAATGACTTGATAATGTCTATGAGTCCAGTTCCTTGGTTTCCAGCATAAAGAATTAGGAGCCAAGAACTCCTGAGTTTCAGCTTTTCTAGTTCTCCATTTATTGCCTTGAGAAACGTACTCTCTGCCTCAGTTCCTGTAGCTGAAGAGAGATATTTTGCTTCCTACTTCACAGGGATGTTGTGAGGATTAACCAGCTAAGGTTGTACAACAAGGTTATTTTTTTCTCTTTAGCTTGGCTATCACACTCGATTAAGAGTGTGGAAGAGTATCTGAAGACTGTCATACATGCTGGATATTTAGTTCTCTCTCTTATTTGTATTAGTGCAATGCAAGAAAACAAAAGTCAATATGGTGCCAAAAACTGGGGAAGAAAGAAGAACAGACTTCTCTCACTAGACATCAGTGGTGCAAATATCTCTATGTATGTCACACTCAAATTTTTTATCTTGGAAACGTTATATGGTAGTAGGCTATTGGTATTGTGATGAAAATGTCAGGTGCCCCCACAAGCCAATTGCAACAAGCTGTGACTCCATTTTTTATTAAGGATTGCAAAGTAGGCTTAGAAATTAAAGCACTCCTGAAGCATTTCTCTTTCTGTGGAAGCAAGTGTGGTTCATAGCTATTGAAAGGTCTACTCTGAGCAGTAGCTGTGATGACTGGTATTATGAGCATGAGAGAGTCTTGTTCCTCTTTCTCTTCCATGGCTGTAAGAAAAATAGTATGCATGAAGGTTTATTGTGATATCACAGAGATCATCCCCTGTTTGACAGCACTTCACAAGATGAGGACAGCAGATATGTGTCCTGCAAAGGTGATGATTCTGCCATATTATCATGTTGCACTTATTTCACATGATGTTTTTTTGACTTTTGCCCCGAGAAATAAAAAAAATGAAAGCATTATATAAAATGTAATTGTACTGTAAGCGCTGTAAACTATATGTCAAAGTCCTTCTATGTATTTGCAAAACAATCAAATAAAAAAAAAGATTAAAAATACCAGGTTATGTCCACTGTTACCTTTTTAATGGTTTTCTGCTTTGCCATTAGGAACAGCAAACAATTAGCGCGTGCTCAAATGAGCATGTCACACCTCAAAAGACAGAAAAACGTGAAGATCCTGACTTAAGGTGGAGGGATTTGATAAAACAGAGTGAAGCTCAGATAGCTAACAGATTGACCCAACACAGACATCAAGGACAGAAGTAGAACTGGAGAATCTGAAACATAATTATCACATCCATTTTCTTTAATGACTTGCTTTTCAAACAGGTTGAAGAATGGCCTACAAACATAGTTCTTAAAAAAGCAATTTTTACCTTTTGATTAAAACTGCTATAGAAATGGCATTTTACATGTTTATTACTGATATTAGTGTGTGGCTGCAGTTTGAAGATGGTACTAGATGACGGATGAAGAAAATTCCATTAACAACCTAGTGAATGACAAATTGGATGACTGCAAAGCGATGAAAAGGCTTGTCTGTGGATAGTAGGCTCATCCTTCCATACATATAAGTTATGAGTAAATATGCTGTGGTACCATTTTATCTCCAATATCATAGAACAAAACTGTTGAAAAGCATGAAGAAAAATGTTTAATCTTAAAAAAAAAATTGACGATTTCCTCTTAAATGAGAATCTTTAGTAATTTATGTATGTGCCTTGTCAAAATCCAACAGTCTCTTGCTCCCATGAACTAGAGATGCAAGGTAAGTAAAAAACACTGAGAGACTACTCCATTCTTGCAGCTTTAAAAGTTCACTCATACAAATATAGAAAGTAAAGTTTCATCTATACCCTTTAGAGGACAACCCTGACAAGAGGAGAAAGAACCCAGCTGGTTAAAAGCATATCTGAGCAGTTTTGTGGCTTCCTATGTACCTTGCATTGTTGCCTATTGTACAGTATCCAAGTGTTTTTCTTTGATGCACTGCATTATTCTGAGCCACTCTTCTGCCCATGTCAATCTGCTGCTATAAACCGGACTTCTTATCTGTAGGGATGTACTTATACCACAGTATATGTGACAGTTTTTGGTGGAATAACTTAAGGGCCAAGTTGGGGAGGGAGGGCTTTTCTTTCCTGAATCTATTTACATACCTTAATATTTTTGAGGCACCAGGATCTGTAAACAGCAGTTACTGTGTTTGTGTGGAAGAAAATATGCCTGGTTTACATAGTTAGTTACATACATAGAAGAAGTGAGAGCATAAGAGAAATTCTTGCCTTCAAGGGGTCTCTGTCTGCCTCCTGAGGTATTACATGTTACTTTATTACTATAATGGCTTGTAAAAGCAAGTAGAACATTATTGATATATGCAAGCAATAGAGTCTAGGACTAAAATCTCTATTTCCATGTTCTTAAAGCTGTCTCCTGAGCATGCAATTTGGAGAGAAATTGGTAAATTTGTGTAAAGCTGTGGTAGGCTGTGTTGTTGCAATGCATTCTAGACTTTGACGCTGCTGTTGGGCAGAGTGACAAGTGTTGCACACAGTGTAGTGCAGAGCATGCTGCTTGTCATGAGCTGGTGCCTCTATGAGATTCACAAGCTGGGTGTCTGTCTGCCTGACTGTGCTGGGGGTGGGGGGGGAGGTCTCACCAGGGAGGCAACCCTTGCAGTTCTCAACACAGAAGTCGCACAACTGCAGTCACTTGAAAAATAGTGATGAGGCTTCTTTCTAGATAATAACCCAGTGAGGAGAGTGTTTGTCAAGTTGCAGTTCCAAATTGTGTCCAAGAAGATTCAAACCACATGCAGCTTATCCCAAGAAAGAACCTAAACCACCACACGACAGCTGAGTAAGAGAGCTTCTCCTAGTGAAACTGAGTTATGCTGTAGGAAAAATTGCAAGGGCTATGGGACTATAACTACAGAAGTCAAGAAGCAGCAGAAGACTGTCTAGTGTGCAAGTCATTCACCCAGTAGTGGAAAGGCCTGAAGTATGCTCTGAAGAATAGTTTTTATTTTATAAACTGTGTTAAGCAAGTCACTTCCCCTTGTTTCTGGATCGCCAGTGAGTAGGCACCTACCTATATTAAGGCAAGTGTTTCTAGGCAAACTCAGAACAAAATCTGAAGACACCTACAGAACTGGCAGGTCAAGCAGTGAGGTGCCCTGGGAACGCAGCGAGGTACAGAGCAGACTTTCCAGACCACAGTTTTAAAACTAGGTTGTGCTAAGTAATCAAATTGTATTGTAGGTGTCTACATTAAATATTTTTATTTTTTGGATATGTTCCTAAACGTTCTCTTTGCATCTGTCAGTTGGAAAGTAGGTAGGTAGAAAATGGAAGTGAAAAATTTAATTAATGAGGAAAAAATACATCACCAGCAGAAGCGTAACAACTGCAGCCAGGAGAATTAGAATACTTGCATAAACTGAGCAAAAACAATGTGAAAAGCAAACTTGCATGTTACCCAAAAAAATAAAAGCAAGCCACAGAAGGAGCACATTGGTACCACCTACGGAAAGTATACATTATTTCTAGGACAAATTCTATCCCAACTGTCTAGGCAGTGAGTGAATAACGACTACAAATTGGATCTGATGCTCATAGCCTGCAAAACAGTCCTTTCATCACCCCTCTGGATAAAAATCTGGTTGTATGAGCAATTAACACATTCTCTTAGATCTGTCCAAGAATAAAGCAAGCTCAGGAAGGCGATAGCAGGGAAAGTTGTCTTGTTCAATAAATATCCCTAAAATATAAACTTTAAGGCTATTATCAGGAACTCTGGCTTGTCAGACATTTCTGTCTAGTTTCAGCTTGCATTTTCTAGAATAATATCCATCCCATGTGCTTTGCTTCTTCCCCACTATCAATCAGCTCTGCTGGCACCTTCCTAATGCTAAAGGAGTAGCTCCCCTTGCTCAAGATATTGCTGCGACGTGCTCAGATTTCAGTGATCTTCCTGCTTGTCTGGGCTCATTCTCAGCTGTAGAATCGAAGTGTGCGTCCATTGACCTATGACAGAGGGAGAACTAAAATCAGAAAAGGGAGGTTGTGAGGAGAGAAGAGGCCCCCTCATAATGCCACAAAGCTCAGCCAGGACCAGCTCGGGCACAAGGGAGACTTGCTTAGTCTGGCTGCCTCTCAGCCTGACTGTAGCTGCGGTTGCGTAGGCAGAGATGGTGCTGGAGTATGCCATTTAAAGCTACCACTGAAGTTCAGATGTGTGGTCTGCTGGCCTGTTTCTAACGTACTTCTGTTCAGGTCCTTCCTAAAAGGTGGGTAATATATTCTTGTCTCTGTTTTCATTTCATTTTAACTTGGCGATTGGTCGTTTGGATGCCTGTGTTTGGAAAATTATGCACTTCTGTGAGATAGAGACATCCTAGTGGGGAGCCCTGGGAGCTAGTTGGCCTGTGAATGCTGCGTGGCTGAAACACCACCTCTTCTAGGCCAGAGGCAAGAAGGAAGATATCAGACTTGGACATGGCTCTTTTCAAATTCGGGATTCTTTAGTAGGTCCCAGGCTTAGCCAGTGGCAGGGGAGGGCAGTGCCATACATCTGCACCTCTGGCTATGTGGGTTGTGAATGGCTCAGGACTTCTTCAGGATAAAAGACAGGGTTGAGATTAGTGACTCAAATGACACTAAAAACCTTCTATATCCTGTGTGGCAGAAGCCTTGCTAAGCTTTTGGTTCCATGAGGAGATGCTTCTCATGGTATCATG